CATCTTATAACTGGAAGTTTCCACCATTTGATCAACACCTCCCCATTTCCCCCAATTCCTAGACCTTGGCAACTACCATCCTACTCTGTTTCTGTGTTTCAGCTTTGTTACATTCCATGTATAAGTGATAGCACACAGTATTTGTCTTTCTGATTTATTTCACGTAGCATAATGTCCTCATGGTCAATCCATGTTGCTCAAAAGGCAAGATTTCATTCTTTTTCTTGGCTAAATAATATTCCATTGTGTGTATATCTATATATGTAGATATATTTGTCACATCTTCTTTAACCATTCTTCTGTTGATGGACACTAAGGTTGTTTCCATACCTTGGCTATTGTGAATAATGCTTCAGTGAATATGGGAGTGCAGATATTTCTTTGAGATAGTAATTTTATTCCATTTCCTTTGGCTATATACCCAGAAGTGGGATTCCTGGATCATATGGTAGTTCTCTTTTTAATTTTTTGAGCATACTGTTTTGCATAATGGCTGCACCAATTTACATTCCCACCAACAGTGTACAGGCATTCCTTTCCTCCACTTTTATCTTTTTCTTTTTTATGATAGCCATTCTAATAGGTTTGAAGTGATATCTTATTGTGGTTTTGATTTGTGTTTAATGATTGTTGATGTTGAGCATCTGTTCATACACCTGTTGGTCATTTATATGTGTTCTTCAGAAAACTGTCTATTTAGATCATCTGTCCATTTTTTAATTGAATTGCTTGGTTTTTTGCTGTTGAGTTAAATGAATTTCTTATGTAGTTTGGATATTAACCCCTTATTAGTTTGTTTACAAATATTACTCTCATTCCATATGTTGCCTTTTCATTTTGTGAATTGTTTCTTTGCTGTACAGGTTTTTAGTTTGATGTAGTCCCATTTTTTAAATTTTGCTTTTGTTGTTTGTGCTTTTGATGTCATATCCAAAAAATACTAAGACAAATGTCAAGGAGCTTCTACCCTATGTTCTTTTCTAGGAGTTTTACAGTTTCAGGTCTTATGTTTATGTCTTTAATCTATTTTAAGTTAATTTTTGTGAGTGGTGTAAATTAAGAGTCCAGCTTCATCTTCTACATGTGATATCCAGTTTTCCTAACACCATTATTTGAAGAGACTATCCTTTCCACAGTAAGTATGCTTGGCTCCCTTATCAAATAATAATTAACTGTATATGTGTGGGTTTATTTCTGGGCTGTCAACTCTGTTCCATTGTTTTATGTGTCTGTTTTTATGCCATATTCTTTTGATTACTATAACTTTGTAATAAGGTTTGAAAACAGGAAGTGTGGTAACTCCAGCTTTGTTTATTCTTTGTCAAGATTGCTTTGGTTTTTTGTGGTCTTTGTGGTTCCATTCGAATCTTAGGATTGTTTTTTCTATTTACGTGAAAAATGCCATTGGAATTTTGATAGGAATGACATTGAATCTGTAGATGGCCTTGGGTAATGTGGATATTTTAACAATGTTAATTCTTCTGATCCATGAACATGGGGTATCTTTCCATTTATTTGTGTCTTTGTCAAATTCTTTCATCAAGGTCTCATAGTTTGCAGTGTACAGATCTTTTGCCTCCTTGGTTAAATTTGTTCCTAAGTATTTAATTGTTTTGGATGCTATTATAAATAAGATTGTTTTCTTTATTTCTTTTTCAGATATTGGGTTGCTAGTGTATAGAAATGAAATTGATATCTGGATGTTGATTTTTGTATCCTGGAACTTCACTGAATTTTAAAAATTAGTGCTAACAGTTTTTGATGGAGTCTTCAGGATTTTTTATCTATGAGACCATAAATCTGAAAACAGTTTTACTCCTTTCTTTCTGATTTGCATGCCTTTTATTTCTTATTTTTGCCTAACTTCTCTGGTTGGGACTTCTGGTATCATGTTGAATATGTGTGGTGCCACTCTGGGTACCCTTGTCTTGTTTCCTTGTTTCTGATCTTAGAGGAAAAGCTTTCACCCTTTCACTCTTGAGTGTGATTTTAGCTATAGGATTGTTGAATATGACCTGTATTCTATACTCAATTTGTGAAGTTTTTTTTTATCATGAAAGGATATTTTGTTTCATCAAATGCTTTCCCCATCTATTGCAGTGATTATATTTTTATCTTTCATTTTATTAGTGTGATGTATCACATTTATTGATTTGCATATGTTGAACCATCCTTGCAGCACAGGGATAAATTCCACTTGATCATGGTGTATGATCCTTTTAATGTGCTGTTCGATTTTTTTCTATTGTTTTTCTGGTCTCTATTTCATTGATTCTGCTCCGATTTTTGTTGTTTCCTTTCCTCTGCTAACTTTGGATGTAGTTTGTTCTTTTCTTTAAATTTTTTGATGTGTGAAGTTAGGTTGTTTATTTGAGATATTTATTTTCTCTTAACGTAGTCATATATTGTTACAAACTTCTGTTAGAACTGCTTTTGCTGCTTCCCATAAGTTTTAGTGTGTTGTGTTTCCATTTTCATTTGTTTTAAGATATTTCATTTCTGTTTTGATTTGTTCTTTGACCCACTGGTTGTTGAGGAGTGTGCTGTTTAATTTCCACATATTTCTGAGTTTTTCAGTTTTTCTCCTGTTAATTGATTTCTAGTTTCATACCATCATGGTTTGAAAAGTTGTTCGGTATCAATTCAGTCTTCTTAAACTTGCTGAGAATTGTTTTGTGAGCTAGCATATGATCTATCCTGGAGAATGTTCCATGTGCACTGGAGAAGAATATGTATTCCACTGCTCTTGGATGGAATATTCTGCATATGTCTGTTAGGTCCATTTGGCCTAAAGTATAGTTTGAGTCCAGTGTTTCCTTATTGATTTTCTGTCTATATGGTCTGTTCATTGTTAAAAGTGGGATAGTAAAGTCTTCTACTATTATTGTATTGTTGTCTATTTCTGCCTTCTTCACTGTTAATATATCTGGGTGCTCCAATGTTGGGTGCATATGAATTTACGATTGTTACATTCTCTTGGTGAATCAACCCCTTTATCATTATGTAATGATCTTCTTTGTCTCTTGTTACAGTGTTTGAGTTAAAGTCTCTTTGTCAAAGATGCAGACATAGAGAATGGACTTGAGGACATGGGGAGGGGGAACGGTAAGCTGGGAAGAAGTGAGAGAGTGGCATGGACATATATACATTACCAAATGTAAAATAGATAGCTAGTGGGAAGCAGGAACATAGCACAGAGAGATCAGCTCGGTGCTTTGTGTCCATCTAGAGGGGTGGGATAAAGGAGGGTGGGAGGGAGATGCAAGAGGGAGGAGATCTGGGGATGTATGTATATGTATAGCTGATTCACTTTGTTATACAGCAGAAACTACCACACCATTATAAAGCAATTATACTTCAATAAAAATGTTAAAAAGTTAAATAAAATTTGTCTGATATAAGTATACCTATCCATGGTCTCATGTTGTTTGCATTTTCAGGAAATATTTTTTTCCCCTTCACTTTCAGTCTGTATGTGTCTTTGAACCTGAAGTGAGTTTTCTGTAGGGAGCATTTCGTTGGATCTTTTTTAAAAAAAATCCAGCTCCTCTGCCTTTTGACTGGAGAATTTAATCCATTATATTTAAAATAACTGTTGATGGGTAAGGACTTACTAATGCCATCTTATTAATATTTTTCTGACTCTTGTAGTTCCATTGTTCTTTCTTCCTCTCTTGCTTTCTTTGTGAATTTATGCTTTTCTGTAATGTAAGCTTTGATTCTTTTCTCTTTAACTGTTATGTATCTATTGTAGGTTTTTGCTATGTGGTTAACATGAACCTTACATAAAACATAGATGTAACAGTTTATTTTAAGTTGATGACAACTTAACTTCAATTGCATACAAAAATGCTACCCTTTTACTCCCCCACCCCACATTTTATGTTTTTGATGTCAAAATTTACCTCTTTGTATATTGTATATTTTTACACATTATTATTATTGTCATTTTAAATAATTTTATCCTTTAACCTTTATACTAAAGTGATTAACACAACACTGTATTACAATATTACAATATTCTGAATTTGTCTATATACATACCTTTACCAGAATGTTTTATATTTTCATACGTTCTCATGTTAGTAATTACCGTCATTTCCTTTCAGCTTGAAGAAATCCTATCAGCATTTTTTGTGAGGCAGGTCTAGTGTAGAATAGCTCCCTCAGCTTTTATTTGAGAACAAACATCTCTTCTTCATTTTTGTTTTGTTTTGTTTTGTGATATGTGGGCCTCTCACTGTTGTGGCCTCTCCCGCCGCGGAGCACAGGCTCTGGACGCGCAGGCTCAGCGGCCATGGCTCACGGGCCCAGCCGCTCCGCGGCATGTGGGATCTTCCCAGACCGGGGCACGAACCCGTGTCCCCTGCATTGGCAGGTGGACTCTCAACCACTGCGCCACCAAGGAAGCCCCCCTCTTCTTCGTTTTTGAAAGATAGCTTTGCTGGGTAAACTTCTTTGGCAGTGTTTCTCTTTCTGTGCTTTGAATTTTTCATCCCACTCTCTCCTCGCTTGCAAGGTTTCCACTGAGTATCCGCTGATAGACTTATTGGGGGTTCCTTTATTATGTGAGGGTTTGTTTTTCTCTTGACAGTTTTAAAAATTCTCTCTTTGTCTTTGATTTTACACAGTTTTTTAATAGTGTGTCTTTGAGAAGATCATTTTGGGTTGATATTTGGTGTTGACCTATTAGCTTCATGAACTTGTATGTCCAAATCTTCTCTCCCCAGATTGGGAAGTTATCAGCCATTCTTTCTTTCTTTTTTGGCTTAAAAGAGCAGAAATTTATTTTCTCACAGTTTTGGAGGCCAGAAGTCCAAAATCAAGGTGTTTGCAGGGCCATGATCTCTCCAGAGACTCTAGAAAAGATTCCTTTCCTTGCAATTTCCAACTTCAGTGAATGGCTGTTGGCATTCCTTGGCTTGTGGCTGCTCACTCCAATCTCTGCCTCCATTTTCACATGGTCTTTCTCCTCCTTTCTGTTGGTGTCTTCTCCTCTTATTATAAGGACACTTGTCATTAGATTTCGAGCCCACCTGGATAATCTAGAATGATTGCAAATAAGTTTTTGATATAATTACATATGCAAAGACCCTTTTCCAAAATAATGTCACACCAACAGGTTCCAGGGATTAGAACATGGACATATTCAGTGGGGGCACCATTTAATTCATTATACCCAATGTGAGGTGCCCTTCCAAGTGGCAGGGAAGCATTTGTCACTGACACATTGAACTTTCCTACAGGTGCCCACATCCTATTCTCAAACTTGCCAAGTATCCAGATGGGTTTCTGTGATGCCAGCAAACCCAGCCAGGATGCAGAGTGGGACCCAGACACAGCTTTGTTTCATGTTAGCTTTCAGTGATGTCTCTTTTTTTTCTTTCTTTTTTTTTTAAAACTTTCTTTCTTTTTTTTTTTTTTTTTTTGTGTGTGGTACATGGGCCTCTCACTGTTGTGGCCTCTTCCGTTGCGGAGCACAGGCTCCAGACATGCAGGCTCAGCAGCCATGGCTCATGGGCCCAGCCGCTCCGCAGCATGTGGGACCTTCCCGGACCAGGGCACGAACCCGTGTCCCCTGCATCGGCAGGCAGACTCTCAACCACTGCACCACCAGAGAAGCCCTAACCTTTCTTTTTTATTGAGTTAAAATATATGTAACATAAAGTTTACCATATTAATAATTTGTAAGCATTCAGTTCAGTGGTACTAAATACATTCACATTGTTGTGCAGCCATCTCCACCATCCATCCTCATAACTCTTTTCATTGTAAATCTGAAACTGTATACCTATTAAACAACTCAACTTCTCCATTCCCCCAGCCTCTGGCAACCACCATTATATGTTCTGTCTTTTTGATTTTGACTACTGTAAATGCCTCATATCACTGGACTTATACAGTTTTTGTCTTTTTGTTCCTGGTTTATTTCACTTAACATAATGTATTCAAGGTTTGACTATGTTGTAGCATATTGCAGAATTTCCTTCCTAAACATGAAGTTTTTAGAATAAAACAATGAAATATTCCATTGTAAGTATATAACACATCTTGCTTATTCATTCATCATTTGATGGGCACTTGAGTTACATCCTTGTTTTAAATAATATGAATAATGCTGCTAGGAATGTGAGTGTACAAATATCTCTTCAAGACCGTACTTTGTTTTTGGTATATATCCAGAAGTGGAATTTCTAGGTAATATGGTAATTCTACTTTTAATTTATTAAGGAACCTCCATACTTTTTTCCAATTGTAGCTGTACCATTTTAAATTCCCACTGACAGTGCACAAGGATGCCAAATTCACCACATCATTGTCAGTACTCACTGTTTTCTAAGAAGTCATTACCAAATCAAATATTATGAAGCTTTTGTCTTGTGTTTTCTTCTAAGAGTTTTGTTGTTTTAGGTCTTATATTTATGTCATTGATCCATTTTGAGTCAATTCTGTATATGGTGTAAGGTAAGGATCAAATGTCATTCTTTTCTATGCAGATATCCATTTTCGACAGCACCATTTGTTGGAAAGACTACCCTTTAGAGTTGAGGAAGATGGCGGAAGAGTAAGACAGAGATCACCTTCCTCCCCACAGATACATCGGAAATACATCTACACGTAGAACTGCTCCTATAGAACACCAACTGAATGCTGGCAGAAGACCTCAGACCTCCCAAAAGGCAAGAAGCTCCCCACGTACTTGGGTAGGACAAAAGAAAAAAGAAAAAACAGACACAAAAGAATAGGGATGGGACCTGCACCAGTGAGAGGGAGCTGTGAAGGAGGAAATGTTTCCACACACTAGGCAGCCCCTTCGCGGGCAGAGACTGCGGGTGGCAGAGGGGGGAAGCTTCAGAGCTGCGGAGGAGAGCGCAGCAACAGGGATGCGGAGGGCAAAGTAGAGAGATTTATGCACAGAGGATTGGTGCCGACCAGCAGTCACCAGCCCGTGACACTTGTCTGCTCACCCACCGGGGCAGGCGGGGGCTGGGAGCTGAGGCTCGGGCTTCAGTCAGATCGCAGGGAGAGGACTGGGGTTGGCAGCGTGAACACAGCCTGAAGGGGTTAGTGCACCACGGCTAGCAGGGAGGGAGTCCAGGAAAAAGTCTGCACCTGCCGAAGAGGCAAGAGACTTTTTCTTCCCTCTTTGTTTTCTGGTGCTCGAGGAGAGGTAATTAAGAGAGCCGCTTAAAGGAGCTCCAGAGATGGACGCGAGCCGCGGTAACAGCGCGGACCCCCACGGTAACAGCGCGGACCCCAGAAACAGGCAGGAGATGCTAAGGCTGCTGCTGCCACCAAGAAGCCTGTGTGCAAGCACAGGTCACTATCCACACCTCCCCTCCCGCGAGCCTGTGCAGCCTGCCACTGCCAGGGTCCCGTGATCCAGGGACAACTTCCCCAGGAGAGGGCACGGCGTGCCTCAGGCTGCTGCAACGTCACACTGGCCTCTGCCGCCGCAGCCTCGCCAAGCATCCGTACCCCTCCCACCCCCAGCCTGAGTGAGCCAGAGCCCCCGAATCAGCTGTTCAACCCTGTCCTGTCTGAGCGAAGAACAGACGCCCTCAGGCCACCTACATGCAGAGGTGGGGCCAAATCAAAAGCTGAACGCCGGGAGCTGTGCGAACAAAGAAGAGAAAGAGAAACCCTCCCAGCAGCCTCAGGAGCAGCGGATTAAATCTCCACAGTCAACTTGATGTACCCTGCATCTGTGGAATACCTAAATAGACAACAAATCATCCCAAATCGAGGAGGTGGAGTTTGGGAGCAAGATATATTATTTTTTCCCCTTTTCCTTTTTGTGAGTGTGTATGTGTATGCTTCTGTGTAAGATTTTGTCTGTATGGCTTTGCATTCACCATTTGCCCTAGGGTTCTGTCAGTCCGTTTTCTTTTTATTTTTCAAAAAATTTTTTTCTTAATAATTATTTTTTATTTTAATAACTTTATTTTATTTTATCTTTATTTTATCCTCTTTCTTTCTTTCTTTCTATTTTTTCTCCCTTTTATTCTGAGCCATGTGGATGAAAGGCTCTTGGTGCTCCTGTGCCTCTGAGGTGGGAGAGCCAACTTCAGCTGACTTCAGGTCCACAAGAGACCTCCCAGCTCCGCATAATGTCAAACGGTGAAAATCTCCCAGAGATGTCCACCTCAACACGAACACCCAGCTTCACTCAATGACTAGCAAGCTACAATGCTGGACACCCTATGCCAAACAACTACCAAGACAGGAAGACAACCCCACCCGTTAGCAGAGATGCTGCTTAAAATCATAATAAGGCCACAGACACCCCAAAACATACCACCAGATGTGGACCTGCCCACCAGAAAGATAAGATCCAGCCTCATCCACCAGAACACAGGCACTAATCCCCTCCACCAGGAAGCCTACACAACCCACTGAACCAACCTTAGCCACTGGGGACAGACATCTAAAACAACAGGAACTACGAACCTGCAGCCTGCAAAAAGGAGACCCCAAACACAGTAAGATAAGCAAAATGAGAAGACAGAGAAACACACAGCAGATGAAGGAGCAAGGTAAAAGCCCACCAGACCTATCAAATGAAGAGGAAATAGGCAGTCTACCTGAAAAAACATTCAGAATAACGATAGTAAAGATGACCCAAATCTTAGAAATAGAATAGAGAAAATGCAAGAAACATTTAACAAGGACCTAGAAGAACTAAAGAGGAAACAAGCAACGATGAACAACACAATAAATGAAATTAAAAATACTTTAGAAGGGATCAATAGCAGAATAACTGAGGCAGAAGAATGGATAAGTAACCTGGAAGATAAAGTAGTGGAAATAACTAGTGCAGAGCAGAATAAAGAAAAAAGAATGAAAAGAACTGAGGACAGTCTCAGAGACCTCTGGGAAAACATTAAATGCACCAACATGCAAATTATAGGGGTCGCAGAAGAAGAAGAGGAAAAGAAAGGGACTGAGAAAATATTTGAAGAGATTATAGTTGAAAACTTCCCTAATATGGGAAAGGAAATAGTCAATCAAGTCCAGGAAGCACAGAGAGTCCCATACAGGATAAATCCAAGGAGAAACATGCCAAGACACATATTAATCAAACTATCAAAAATTAAATACAAAGAAAACATATTAAAAGCAGCAAAGGAAAAGCAACACATAACACACAAGGGAATCCCCATAAGGTTAACAGCTGATCTTTCAGCAGAAACTCTGCAAGCCAGAAGGGAGTGGCAGGACATATTTAAAGTGATGAAGGAGAAAAACCTGCAACCAAGATTACTCTTCCCAGCAAGGATCTCATTCAGATTTGATGGAGAAATGAAGACCTTTACAGACAAGCAAAAGCTGAAAGAGTTCAGCACCACCAAAACAGCTTTACAACAAATGCTAAAGGAACTTCTCTAGGCAAGAAACACAAGAGAAGGAAAAGACCTACAATAACAAACCCAAAACAATTAAGATAATGGGAATAGGAACATACATATTGATAATTACCTTAAATGTAAATGGATTAAATGCTCCCACCAACAGACACAGAGTGGCTGAATGGATACAAAAACAAGACCCATATATATGCTGTCTACAAGAGACCCACTTCAGACCTAGGGACACATACAGAGTTAAAGTGAGGGGATGGCAAAAGATATTCCATGCAAATGGAAATCAAAAGAAAGCTGGAGTAGCAATTCTCATATCAGACAAAATAGACTTTAAAATAAAGATTATTAGAAGAGACAAAGAAGGACATTACATAATGATCAAGGGATCGATCCAAGAAGAAGATATAACAATTATAAATATTTCTGCACCCAACACAGGAGCATCTCAATACATAAGGCAAATACTAACAGCCATAAAAGGGGAAATCGACAGTAACACAATCATAGTAGGGGACTTTACCACCCCACTTTCACCAATGGACAGATCATCCAAAATGAAAATAAATAAGGAAACACAAGCTTTAAATGATACATTAAACAAGATGGACTTAATTGATATTTATAGGACATTCCATCCAAAAACAACAGAATACACATTTTTCTCAAGGGCTCATGGAACGTTCTCCAGGATAGATCATATCTTGGGTCACAAATCAAGCCTTGTTAAATTTAAGAAAATTGAAATCGTATCAAGTATCTTTTCTGACTACAGCACTATGAGACTAGATATCAATTACAGGTAAAGATCTGTAAAAAATACAAACACATGGAGGCTAAACAATACACTAGTTAATAACGAAGTGATCACTGAAGAAATCAAAGAGGAAATCAAAAAATACCTAGAAACAAATGACAATGGGGACACGACGACCCAAAACCTATGGGATGCGGCAAAAGCAGTTCTAAGTGGGAAGTTTATAGCAATACAATCCTACCTTAAGAAATAGGAAACATCTCAAATAAACAACCTAACCTTGCACCTAAAGCAGTTAGAGAACAAAGAACAAAAAATCCCCAAAGTTAGCAGAAGGAAAGAAATCATAAAGATCAGATCACAAATAAATGAAAAAGAAATGAAGGAAACGATAGCAAAGATCAATAAAACTAAAAGCTGGTTCTTTGAGCAGATAAACAAAAAAGATAAACCATTAGCCAGACTCATCACAAAAAAAAGGGATAAGACTCAAATCAATAGATTTAGAAATGAAAAAGGAGAAGTAACAACTGACACTGTAGAAATACAAAGGATGGTGAGAGATTACTACAAGCAACTTTATGCCAATAAAATGGACAACCTGGAAGAAATGAACTAATTCTTAGAAATGCACAACCTGCCAAGACTGAACCAGGAAGAAATAGAAAATATGAACAGACTAATCACAAGCACTGAAATTGAAACTGTGATTAAAAATCTTCCAACAAACAAAAGCCCAGGACCAGATGGCTTCACAGGTGAATTCTGTCAAACATTTAGAGAAGAGCTAACACCTATCCTTCTCAAACTCTTCCAAAATATAGCAGAGGGAGGAACACTCCCAAACTCATTCTAAGAGGCCACCATCACCCTGATACCAAAACCAGACAAGGATGTCACAAAGAAAGAAAACTACAGGCCAATATCACTGATGAACCTAGATGCAAAAATCCTCAACAAAATACTAGCAAACAGAATCCAACAGCACATTAAAAGGATCATACACCATGATCAAGTGGGGTTTATTCCAGGAATGCAAGGATTCTTCAACATACGCAAATCAATCAACGTGATACACCATATTAACCAATTGAAGGAGAAAAACCTTATGATCATCTCAATAGATGCAGAGAAAGCTTTCGACAAAATTCAACACCCCAAAATAAAAAAATTCAACACCCATTTATGATAAAAACCCTGCAGAAAGTAGGCATAGAGGGAACTTTCCTCAACATAATAAAGGCCATATATGACAAGCCCACAGCCAACATCGTCCTCAATGGTGAAAAATTGAAAGCATTTCCACTAAGATCAGGAAAAAGACAAGGTTGCCCACTCTCACCTCTATTACTCAACATAGTTTTGGAAGTTTTTGCCACAGCAATCAGAAAAGAAAAAGAAATAAAAGGAATCCAAATCGGAAAAGAAGAAGTAAAGCTGTCACTGTTTGCAGATGACATGATACTATACATAGAGAATCCCAAAGATGCTACCAGAAAACTGCTAGAGCTAATCAATGAATTTGGTAAAGTAGCAGGATACATACTCTCTTGATTAATGTAGCTTTGTAGTATAGTCTGAAGTCAGGGAGTCTGATTCCTCCAGCTCCATTTTTCTTTCTCAAGATTGCTTTGGCTATTCGGGGTCTTTTGTGTTTCCATATAATTAAAAAATTTTTTTGCTCTAGTTCTGTGAAAAATGCCAATGGTAGTTTGATAGGGATTGCACTGAATCTGTAGATTGCCTTGGGTAGTTCTTATCATCTTACCTCATGTGCCTACTTATCTCTAAGTGAGTCCTGCACACTGTATTTGAAAAGAGAGGCCTTGGGAGTTGTTAACCTTCTCCAGAAAGGATTTTCATTTACTCCCACCCAGTAACTGGGCAGCTGCAGCCAGTGCAGGGACTGTTTACTTTCAGACCACCCTCACTCTTAGGTTGCAACTTGATAACCCACCCCAATGTAAGAGGATTCACAGGGCTCCATTCCTTGGTGGACCTGCAGTCCAACTTTTGTCTACTTGGCTATTAAAGCTCTGCTCAGCCCCTTAGCTTTGTAGTAAACATCTCCAGGGCAAAAGCAGCCCCATTTTTAGGCTTAGCACTTTGATGTCTGCCATCTTCTGAATCTTGGCCTAGAAACCGTTTGCTCTTTTTAGCTCTCTTACTTGATATATTTTCTAATTTTTCTAATTGTCCTTCACTGACAAGTATGTGTGAATCATGTGCTCTACCATTCCCAAGAGAGAACCTTAGTGGATTCCTCTTCTTCTATACAATATATTCTCAAATTGCTCTGGAGATGTTAATTACACTTATTCCAAAGTCTTCTTTAAACAACTAGAGTTGTTTATGTGAAATCTGTTTCATCAGGTTTTACCTTTTTGTTTACAAGCTTAGTTCTTTTACAGAATTAGTTCTGTTTACATATGAAACTGTTCCCGGATGTCTGCTCATCTTGATATTTGCGATGCCAGTTTGCCCATGCTTTCAAAGACCTCCTTCCCTCCAGGAGGAGGATACTGCCCCCAGGTGAGAGCCACTTCCTCAATCTGCCGGCTAACACCCCCTTTTGCCATTTCTCTCTGGCCAAATGCTCCCTCCCAATGCCCAAGAATCACCTCTAAAACAAATGTCCTGGCAACAGAAGGCCTTCATCATCTGAAGCAAATGCTTGCATTCTGTCGAATATGCCTCAGTTTTCCTTTCAGTTGGGCCCTTGTGGAGACTTGAAAAGGGGGAAAGAAGGGTGAGAATGCAGTAGTGAGAAGGAACTGCAAGGAGAAGAAAGACTATGAGTAGGACAAGGAGACAGGAAAGCAGGGGCCCGTGGACAAGAAAACACAGGCAGCCCACAGGGCTGGACCTCTGAGAGGGTGAGAGGCTGCAGAGATGGGGCCAGGGAACAGGCTGTGGCACACTAGAGCCGAAGGGGAATGAGGAGTCTGCCCTCCATGTGGCAGGCAAGGAGGACCTTGGGGGACTGAGCAGAATTACGTGGTCACTTGGTCTGCCATGTGGAGGGCCTGGCTTGAAGTGCCACCTGGCACAGCGGTCTAGTGCCAGGTCCACAGACCCTGGGAAACAGCAGAGGTTCCTGAGAGCTGGGTCACTCACCAGCAGGAGGGGGCCTTCTGGAAAGTCACAGGCCTCCAATGAAGACGAGTATGTAGGCAGGCAGGAGGCTTGCTTACACCCGTTCTCTGCTTTGCATACTTTGATCAGTCCCCGCTCATCCACGGTGACAGCCAGTTGCAGCCGAGGGTAAGTCACCAAATTCACCAGAGCTGCAGGCTGTAGAGGGCTCGACAGAGCTCTGTGCCCTAGGCAACAACAAAATTAATGTAACAACTCACATAGGGCCCATTTATTTCCTAAACGCTTATTATTTTCATTCATTTGACCATCACCCAGTGCACACTGGGGACGTGCAGGTGTAAAGGATGTGATCCCCATCCTCACAGGCTGCACAGCATGGTAGGGAACACAACACAGGAGCAATGTTCTACCACAGAGGAGACAGGTGTGTCCTGGAGGAGAGCAGTGGCTGAGCATGGGTGTTGAGACTGCCTGGGGTTGGTGCCATTGCAGGGGGACTGAGGGTGGGGTCCTTCATGTGCACTGGGCACAGGATGTCTGAAGCACTCCCAGTGGTTACCTATGGCTCAACTAAAGAAGGCTGGGCAGGGAGGCAGGACCCAACACTACCCACCCTGCCCAGGATCTGGGCTGTGCTTGGGACCCAGGCTGTGCTGGGGACCTGGGCTGTACTCAGGACCTGGGCTGTGCAGGGCTGCATAAAGAGAACTTCCACGTGGAGCATCTCACTTGGTCCCCAAGGAACCCAGGTTTACAGATAAGCTAATTCAGCCTTGTAGTTGTAAACAGTTTCTGTTGCATATCTACAACTGCCCTGCTCAGAACATGCCCTTCCCAGTGGTGTGCCCAGCAGTGCCACCACAGGCTGGGCCTGGCGAAGGCCATTAGCACAGAGGAAAATGACTGGTCCGAGATGGGCTGATTCCCAGATACATGGTCTCTCCCACGATTCTGAAAGCTAGAACAGCGAGGTAAGAGCCCGGGTCCAGCAGGCCCACAGCACATTAGGACAGGGCATCAGAGAACCAATCCTCTAATTGCTGTTTCTGAGTTTCTCAGAGTTGCCACATGGGGTTTGTTTCCAATTTGGAGTTATTACGGTTCTTTTTCTATCAAGTGTTATCATGTTAGCATGATCTTTTTCCAATCATGATATCCCAGTATTCTTCCATTCTTTTTTTTCTTCCCCCTCACATCAGCAAATCAACAGTTGATTTCTGTTGCTTAAACAGCTAACAAGACTATTACTAGTAGGGACTCAGCACCGGTGACTGGCTCATGTCAACTAGGTCTCGGAGAATACACATTATTCGCCAGTGGCTAGTAGTATGGAAGTGGGTAAAGAAGCAGTGAAACTCCCCTTCCCATTTCAGAATAGGAAGTAGCAACCAGGGAAACAGAGTTCAGAAACAGGCTACATAATGCATGACTCCAACAAAATGATTGAGCTTTTTAAAAATAAAATAAGATTGGAGATGTATTCACAAAGAGGATTAAGGTTGGGAAGCCAGGCAGAATAGGTGCCGAGGGGTCTAGCCCTGTCTAACAGTCCCACACTGTGACCAATGGACCACACTAGAGTTCAACAAACCATGGCCTGCAGCCAAACCCAGCCCACTGACCATTTTTGTATTTTCGTTAAAAAAAAATCAAAGAATATTTCATGACACATGAAAAAAACAAGAAACTCACATGTAAGTGTCCATAAGTACAGTTTTATTGGAACACAGCCACTCCCTTTTTGTTTACTTGTATACAGCTGCTTCTGCATTTCAGCCACATAGTTAAGTAGTTGCAACAGGACCACGTGGTCTGCAAAGCCTAAAATATTTGCTCTCTGGCCCTTTACAGAAAAGGTCTGCCACCCCAGCACCAAAGCTCTTTATGTTCAAGTCAAGACCTTTTTGTTTTGGCAACTATGGAACCTCCCAGCCTTCAGGTCTTCTTCCTGCCCAAGAGCCCCTCATCGAAGCCTGTGTGGTCTCATGTCCACAGCCTAAGGTGGGTCAGGGCAACACAACTGCAATGAAACAGAAACCAGCCACCTGCACCCATCAGTCACCAGAGACCTTCACTCGAAATTATAATGTCAAACATCACAATGTATATGAGGAAAATAAAGCACGTGGAAGAGAAAAAAACCCATAAACAAATGAAAAAACTGACCATGGAGGAAAGACATATGAGGCAAATAACTGTATCCTTTAAACGACAAAAAAGAGCAATCAGAGAATATGAAAATGGATAGGAAAGCTTTTAACAATTAGTACCAACCAAGTTATCGAGGTTTTAACACTTAAGTTTGCAAGTGGGGTGAGTAAAATCTGCATTATCTGGGAAAAACCACCCAGAGGCAGGCATTGGCTCCAATGTGGACAGCACAGAACTGGGCATGGCAGCTGTCAATCCCCTTGCATAAACAGCCTCCATCAGGCACTGCAAAAATGCCCATCTCCCTGAGGCAGGACAGCAGAAAGTCAAGGGCATTTGCGATCAATCAGACTCAAGTCTGAAGTGTGACCTGGCACAGCGACTGAGCCTCCTGCAGCTCAGATTTCTCATCTGTACAATGGGGCTCCCACTACTCACCTCACAAGTTGGCTGTGATGATAAAGAATAAAGGCAAAGGGCCTTGCTAAGACTGAGAACATAGCAGCATCTGGTCACTTCTCATCCTGGCCCCCTCCTGAACAGCTCACCTCTTGCAGATCCCAGGCACACACGGTGCCATCTGATGACACGGCGCACACCACGGACTTCTCCCACCCATCAAACCAGTACTCTTTGGTTGAGATGTAGGCCAGCTCATCTATCTCTCCTGAAAGAGAACACAGACTTGCCTTAAGCACAAACATGGATGCCTGGGATGTGAACATTCAACTTAGTGAAGGGGAGGCAGGCAAGTCATTCCTCTTCTCTCTCAGGAGCATGACAGGTGCTGATTCTGGGGACAGCAGTGGACAGAAAGAGCTGGGACTTCAGACTTACAGTTTGGGTATCATGCCCAGGACTGCCTACCACCCACCAGCCATGTTACTGTGAACAACAGTTACAACATCCTTATCTCTTAGTTTCTGTTTCTTTCTACTCTGAAATAGATGTAATGATCTCTGTTAGGATCAAATGATAACAGAGGTATAGAACATAGCAGGGTATGTCCTCATTATGTGGCATTTTCCAACTAATTGGCTGAAAAACTAAATCCCTGGAGATCTGACCAGGGAAAGAGTGGGAATGCACAGTTACCACCTTCCCCACCCCATACCTTTGTGCCCAGCAATGGCTTTGCAGATAAAATCCTTCTCTGGCCACCCAGATTCCATTTGGAACTCCAGCTCGGATCGGCAGAGATAGTACTGTTTCCATGTCTGTGTGCCCAGGGTCATCTGGGAGGCTTTACAGGAGGACCAGCGTCTCAGACACAGCTGCCTGAAACAAAGACCCCACAGTCCCAGGCAGAACAGGAGTCATTAGAAGGTGTTTTGGCATCAGTAGGCCTAGCTTTGATTCCCAGCTTCACCGTCTACTAGCTTGGACAACTCACTTTGCCTATGTAGGCCTCAGTTTCCTCCACCGTTAAATGGGGATAATGATATGACACTGAACGAGTGCTCACCACATGTCAGGAATAGGTGCTTTTTGTGTTTCCAGTCAATCTATATAACAACCCCATGAAGTAGGTCCTCATCTCCATTTTAGATATGAGAGAGGGGTTAAACAACTAACCCAGGGTCATGCAGCCTTGGTCATGCAACTGCAACTCAAGAGTCTGCATTTTTTTGAAGCCTCCAACTATTGTTGAACTGTCTATTTCTCCCTTCAATTTTGTCAGCCCTTCATGCATTTTGTTGCTTTGTTATTAGGTCCATATACATTTATAATTTTTTAGATCTTCTTGATGGATTGATCTGTTTATTATTATAAAATATCCTTCTTTGTCCCTAGTAACACTTTTTGTCTTAAAGTCTATTTTGTCTGTTATTAGCATGGTCATTCTAGCTCTCTCTTGGTTGCTGTTTGCATGGTATATGTTTCCATTCTATTATTTTCAACCTGTATCTTTGAATCTAAAATGTGTCTATTGTAAAGAGCATATACTTGGGTATTTTTAATCCCTTCTGCCAATCTCTGCCTTTTCAATGGAGTGTTTAATCCATATATATTTAATACAACTGATAAGATAGGATTTACATATGTCATTTTGCTTATTTCTATGCATTTTTCCTTCTATTCCTCTGGTACTGCCTTCTTTTGTATTAAGTATTTTCTTATGTCCTATTCCCTTGTCATTTCTTCAACTGTATATTCTTTTAATTCTTAGTCGTTGCCTTGGGGATTACCGGATAAAATCTTAATTTATGACAATCTAGTTTTGATTAATATCAACTTAATAGTATCAAAAAACTAGCTCCCGTGTAGCTCCATTTTATGCCCCTCTCATTCATGCTGTTATTGTCATACAAATTACTTCTTCATACATAATGTACCCAATGGAGAGTCACAATTATTGTTTTATGCAGTTGTCCTTTAAATCACGTAGGAAAAAAGGAGTTACAAACAATTCATTTATGTTGCCTTTTACATACACCTATGTGGCTACTTTACTGGTGCTACTTCTTCACGTGGATTCAAGTTCCTGTCTAATGTCCTTTCATATCAATCTGAAAGACTCTCTTTAGTATTTTTTGTAGGGCACATCTACTAGCAACAAATTCTCAGAGCTTTTGTTAATCTAGGAATGTCTTAATTTTCTCCTTCATTTTGCTAGATATAGAATTCTTGATGACAATCTTTTTCTTCCCACACCTTCAATACATCAGCCCACTCCTTTTTGGGCTCCATGGTTTTTTATGAGAAATCAACCATTAATCTCATTGGGGTTGTCCTGTACATGATGAGTTGCTTCTCTCTTGATGCTTTCAAGATTCTGTCTTTGGCTTTCAAGTTGGATTATAAAGTGTCTCGAAATGGAACTCTTTTGACTTTATCCTACTTGCAGCTCACTGAGCTTCTGGATGTGTAAATTAACATTTTCCATCAAATTTGGGAAGTTTTCAGCCATATCTTTAAATACTTTCTACTTTCTTTCTCCTCTCATCTGGAACTCCCTATTATTTGTTGCTTGCATGCTTGATGGTGTCCCACAGGTCTCTTAGGCACTATTCATTTTTCTTCATCTTTAGCTTCATTGCGTTCCTCAGACTGGATAATCTCAACTGACCTATATTCCAGTTTACTGATTCTTTCTTCCGCCTGCTCAAATCTGCTCTTGAATTTTTAATTTGATATTGTACTTTCCTACTCCATAATTTCTGTTTAGTTATTTTTTATAATTTCTCTTTATTAATATTCTCTATTAATGAGACACTGTTCTCATACTTCCCTTTAGTTCTTTTCACATGGTTTCCTCTAGTTCTTTGCACATACTGAAATAGTTGATTTAAAGTCTTTGTCTAGTAAGTCTGATGCCTGGGCTTCCTTGGGGACAGTCTCTATTGTTTGCTTTGTTTCCTGCATATTAGCCACACTTTATATCTTTGCATGACTTATAACTTCTGTTGAAAACTGAACATTTTAAATAACATAATGCAGAACTCTGGAAATCTGATTCCACCCCACCCCTGTTTTATTATAGCTGTTATTATTTTTTGTTTGTTTAGTGGAGTAACTCTGAAAAGTTTCTGAACTCTGAAAGTCTGTATTCTTTGTTATGTAGGGCCACTTATGTCTCTGTTCAGTTAAATTAATGTGCAGTAATGAGAGAACAGATATTTCCTAAATTTCTGGAACCACTAAATTTCCTAGTGATTGCCAAACGCTCTATGTGCAGGTTGGGGCATGTGTTCAACACTCAGCCAGGCAGTTGACTTCTCTGTCTTAGTCTTCACTTCCTGCTTCCATGGAACCTCAAGGTTAACCAGAGGTAAAAGTCTGGAGCCCTTTTATATCTTCCCTGAGTTAGCACACAGCCCTGAATAAGCACTTGGCCTTCTAGATTCCTAGGAATGTGTTGGAGCTTTCCAAAATCCCTAAGGACATCACATTCCCAGTTTTCCTTTTAAACTCTTTGGTTGGCCTATTGTTTCCTTAACTATCATTCATCAACTCTGATTAAAGACTAATTAAAAAGTTAATCAGGGCTTCCCTGGTGGTGCAGTGGTTAAGAGTCTGCCTGCCAATACAGGGGACATGGGTTCATGCCCTGGTCCGGGAAGATCCCACATGCCGCAGAGCAGCTGGGCCCGTGAGCCATGGCCGCTGAGCCTGCGCGTCTGGAGCCTGTGCTCCACAATGGAAGGGGCCACAACAGTGAAAGGCCTGCGTACCACAAAAAAAAAAAAAAAAAAAAAGTAAATCAATTCTCTTTAGTTGTCTTGACAGATGCCCCAAAGTAAAGGTTTTTCACATTGGGTGAACTTCGAGCAAGGTAAAATAAAGACAGCTTACATGTGAGCTCTTCCAGGAAACACCAGACAGGTTGAACAATGACAATTCTCTGGGAATAAGGCTTTGAAGAATCTTACCCATTCTTACCCTTCCAGTGACTGCAGCTCCTGGTTTCACTGTGATTGTGAACTGTTGGTATTCAAGACTAACACAAAGCTGGAAGGTTGTTATGGGAACAGAGCAAGTGAACACTTGCTGCTCTTACTGAGAATAAGCCATTTTTTTCTTGAATAAACACTTCCCAGACTACTGTAAGTCTCTGGTTAATTTTCAGAGTTCTGTAAAAGTTGATTTTGACAATTTATGCCAGTTTTCTCATTGTTTTTATGGAACAGAAAATTTTCAGAAGTCATTAATCCACCAATTTCCAAGAGTCTGCATCCTTAACTTGTATGTATCAATAACTACTGTCAATTCTATGATAGCAACTCGCTTATAAGGCTGTTGAAGATAAAACATTAGCTCATCCACACTATGGAGAATACTGAATCCCCACCTAGTCTGTGGACCCCAAAGTGAGTGAGACATGGCCCTTGCCCTATGAGTACTCTCAGCTGGTGGTTAGGAGGATAAGTAAAACTAAAATTCTGGAGAGAAATGCTAAGTTTCAGAAGGGGCAGCCTATAGTGCCATGGGAGTAAAACACAAGGAGAGTGAACATCTGGGAGAGGATTAGGGAGGCCCCATGGACAAAGGCTTTCAAAATTTACAGTCACCAGAGTTGATACAGCATCAGAGGACTCCAGTCATATCTCACAGAGGAGAAAAATAAGGCTGGGTGGGAAATAAGTAGCTCACAGCCCATGGTCCCAATAAGTACAACGCAAAGAGTTTCTCTCCATTCAAAGCCTGTACACTCACTGAGCACCTATGTGTCAGGCTCTGTACTAGGCACTAGTGACCTCTAACACACTGGGAAGGATCCAGTGCTTATGTCGGATATGGGTTTTCCTGTCCTCACTGAAACCCTGTTCCTTCTACCAGAAGTAGCATACTCACAGCCTGCAGGCAGAATGGGCATCCAGATTACCTTGTCTGGCCTGCATAGGATTGGCCTACTTGAACTAGCTGTCAATACTTAAAAATCAAGAGATTTCACATACAAATTAGGTAAAAGAAGAAGATATCTAGCTATACTGAAATCAAATTCTCACCTGGAAAAATTTATCTGGGGCCACACAGAACGGTACTCCTCAGACAAGAATGAGCTTTCAGGGAATTCCCTGGTGGTCCAGTGGTTAGGACTCTGCTTTAACTGATGAGGGCCTGGGTTCGATCCCTGGTTGGGGAGCTAGGATCCTGCAAGCCACATGGCACAGCCAAAAAAAAAAGAATGAGCTTTTAGCTCCACCATGGCCTTCACCATCCCTTTTATCTCTTGGACTAAGAGGCTGAGTATCAGCTGCCTCACATCATCATTCTTATGTTGTTGACTTTCTTTTAGTTGAAATAAACAGAAAGGGAAATTTCTTGTACCCATATCTCAACCTAAACAGTGTGAAAATAAAAGCTAGACTAAGAAGATAATGTGGTTTAAGAAAAAGCGGGAATAACATTTCTTTGTGGAAGTGAAATCTATTTCTACATATTTAAGGCCATTATACATCAAACCATAAGTAGGAACCATAACCAATATTCAGAAGAAATAAAACCAAGTGATTTGACCAAGAAAAGGGCAGACTGTCAACAAGGCTGAAGTGTGCACATGAGTAAAGTATGAGATAAGCCTCTGAAATACAAGGATGTATCAAGTGAAAAAACACCATGGCACCAAAACCTTTCAGAAAGCAATTAACAGCAAAACAATCTACTGTACACAAACAAAAAGAAATATTTTTTTTTTGCTTAAACAAAAGCAAATATTTGCAATTTTAACCAAAAATCTAACGCATAGTGTGTTAAAGAGATGGCAGAATTTAAAAGGTCATGAAGCATTTTAAAGAAGTAACTTGCAGTGTTTTAAATTAGAATTATAGAGTACATATTAAAAACATACGACCGGTTAACCATGTTCATTACTGTGTCTGTAAGAGTTTCTATGGGCCTGGAGAGTTTTGGGGCCTAGTACCCATGACAGATACAACATTAGAAATGACACGTGCATGTGACGATGCTCCTGGAATGCTGCTGCAGTTGTCCCAGTTCCAGAAGCATAAACCCAGTATTTTTTATATGAACACAGGTCAAGGATACCATACCAAAGAATGACTGTAGGCTAAAAAGAGTTTAGCACCAAAAACTATAAAATAGTAATGAACCGAAAACCCATTCATGACTTGGCTTGCAGACAGCTGAAGAATCTGCTTGAGGAACCTGGAGGTACACACAATATGGTAACACATGCAAACATGTGGGGGTTAGGTGATAAGCTGCTCAAGAGATTTTATGAACTGCTGAAAGAAATATATTACTTATGTTACTCAAAGGGAAATTCCTACCCCAGCTTATCAGTAAAGATGAGAACAAAGACTAGGGTTTAGGGTTGGCATCCTACCCATTTCAACTGTGAGAATTGCCCTCCAAGGGCTTCCACAAATAGTTACACCAATCTATGAGTCAACTCATTTATTTCTAGTGACACAGTGTCTTTGAGAATCACATTTGGCAAGACATTCTCTTGTCCACTTATCTACAGAGAAATAAATTTCCAGAATTGAATGTTCTATGTAGAGTACATTCCCCAAATTGTAGAGATAAAGACTGAAATCCAGTAAAAGTTCCCTTACTTTAAAATTGACTAGAGATTAACATCATTTTTCTAATTAGTATGATTAGCAATAAAAAAATGAATAAAAAGCAACAAACAGAACAGTGCTGTATGATACTGAAAACTAAATATGGCAAGATTGGCATTCCACAATTCTCAAATTTATCAATTCACAGTTATTCTAAAAATAAAAACCATCAAGCAAAGATTCCCTCCATGTTTGGAGGAAACTTCATGTGAACAGTTGTTTTCCATAAGGAAAGACTAAAACTAAATGTAGCTCCTAGTTGATAGTCAAGGCTATATAGTCTGTCCTATATACTACAAGAGGCAGAAGATCTGACACTTACCCCTTGGGACAAAAGAAAAGATGTCAGGTTCCAAAGGAGGAATGAACAGAAAAGAAAAATTTAATAATTTAATGATTAAAATATTTTTTATTTTCTACTTTTAATTTTTTGAATTTTATTTAAGTTCTAATATCAAACATGCTTATATAACTATGTTGTTACACCAAAGTTGAAATCAAATAAAAGTGGTTCATTTGTCTATTGATTTGTCTATCAGCCAGCTGCATTCAAGTTGCTGTACATTTCTGCCCCTGAGTTTGGCACCCCCACCTACATCAACCTCCACTTGATTAACAAAATCGCTTATATTTCAATACACTGTAAAAAAAGTCTCACACCCCCAACTAGGGAGGAGTTTCCTGCTGGTAAGGGCTGTGGATTGTCCCTTCTTGTCTACTTAGCAGAAACGCAGTGAGTGCTGAAAAGTACACCCCTCTCTCCTTTGAGGGATACTCTCCTGAGCAGGCCTGGCTCTTCCTCCACTCACCTCCACAGTTCCTTGGTCCTTGAAGCCTCATTCCAGACCTAGAAGAGTATCTGGTCAGTCAACATGCAATTAGTGCCTAGCCTGCCAGGCCCTGTGGAGGGGACAGAGAGCTAAATGAGACCCAGTGCTTGCACTCAAGAACACTCACCCTGGGGAGTTAGAGACAAATTCAGACAATCAAATAAAACACACCAAATAATGAATGACAAAGGAGAGAATGACCAACTCAGTTGGAGCCAAGGGGTTCAGAAGTAATTACTGATCAACTCCTGAAGGATGAGCAGTTATCCTCTAAGAAAATGGCTGAAGTATTTCAGGGAGAGAAAGATCCACTTGGGCAAAGATTCAGAAGTATGAAAAAGATGATGAGTAAGTTGCCTTAATCAGAACATAGAGAAAGGAGCTGGAGACAGGCTTAGACCAACTCTTGGAAGTCAGAAGGGCAAAAACAGTGAGAACTGTGAATGGAAAAGTGGCAAGTCAAACTGTGTTTTAGGCTTCTATGAGAAGGAAGGATTTGGAGACTTCCCTGGTGGTCCAATGGTTAAGAATCTGCCTTCCAATGCAGGGGGCACGGGTTGGATACCTAGTCGGGGAACTAAGATCCCACATGCTGGGGCAACTAAGCCCATGAGCGCTCTAGAGCCTGTGTGCCACAACTAGAGAGCCCGTGCACCGCAATGAAAGATCCCACGTGCCACAACAAAGATCCCGTGTGCTGCAAATAAGACCCGATGCAGCAAAATAAATAAATAAATATTAAAAAAAAAAAAAAAAGACTCTGAGCTTCCACTGTAAGGGGCATGGGTTGGATCCCTGGTTGGGGAAGTAAGATCCTGTAAGCCATGTGGTAGGGCCAATTAAAAAAAAAAAAGAGAGAAGGAAGGACTGGAAACGAGGGCAGAGCAGCAGTACCCATAAGAAGGCTGCTGCAATGGAGTAAATTAAGGCTCTGGCTAAAGGGATGTCCCAGAGATGCCAAGGTGAAGGAACAGAACTGCTACCTGGGGAGGGCACACAGGCCCTATTCCCACAAACTGCTCTCTGCAGAAGTATCTGGAAGAGATTCAGGTGGCCCTGGGAAGGGATCAGAGTACCCTGCCTCCCCCTCCCTCAGGCCCACACCTGCATCCTGGAACTTCTTGGCCTCTCCAGCTGGGCCACCCTGGATTCTGGAGCCTATACAGCTTCAGTAGAAACCACTCTGGAGCTTTCTGTGGCCCAGACCTACTGAGGGTCCCATCCAGATACGTGGCTTTCCAGGCCCTGGCAGAAATAACAACCACCCTGTCTGAGTCCAGGTTCCTACTTCCACAGCCCTCACTCACCCGAAATCAAAGTTTCTCAGTCCTTAAGAAATCTTTTTGGCTAGTAGGAATGTAAAATTGATATTTTGCAATAATCAAACCAAGTAAGAAGATTTCCGCATTCTGTTTTTCTATAGTTCCCGGTTCAAAACCCAACTGAGATGTTCTTACTTCCCTAACATAAAATTATAGTATGTAATATAACCTGCAAAATGGGTGTTACCCACCTTGGAGAATGCCTCTGTTAGATGCTGATCTTCATGATGACACTGTAAGGCAGGGTTTATTGACCTCATTTTACCTAACAGGGAAACCAGAACCTGGAGAAGTTGCTGCTATCAAAGGGTAAACGGCACCTCCCTTTCAAAATCTGCTGGGAGACTACCTGGGTGATCTCAGCCAATGCACTCACGGCACGATACTCACTTTCCCTATTGGTAAAAATGGGGATAACAACGCAGTATTTTACTTGATACATTTAAGTTATAATTACACAATTCAGGTAAGGGTCTGTTTATTAATCTTTTTGTAAAATGATATAATAATGTATTTTAAAAGTAAAGAAATTCATTTACTCAACAAACATTTACTTAGAGTACACGAAATATCAAGCCATACGCTGAGTGTATACACACAGTGATCATACAGTGGTTATATACACAGCGATGCAAGAGAGAAAAGAATGAGTCTAGCGGGGGTCGGGGGTGGGGGGGAAGCAAACATTTAACAAGTACACTATGTGATCATTTAGTTACAGTTGTGCTGCGTAAGAGCACAGAGGAGGAAGAGCTCGGAACACAACAGGGGCAGAAGCGCAGATCAGACTAATGCACTAAACAGGCACTTAGGGCGCACAGCCAGTACAGTTCGACTGGCTGGGAAGGGACAGGCGGAGCCCGCAGGAGGAGGTGCCACTCACGGGGAGAGAACGGCTTTCCAGGCAGGCCTCAGAAGGGAAATTACAGAATATGCCAGAAGAGGTGGGGATCCCTAAGCCAATCTTAGGGGTGAACCCTGTTCACAGGTGCCCGGTGCAAGCCAACCGCGCAGGAGCTCTGGACACACCGACAGACGGAGGGACGGAGGGACGGAGGGATAAGAGGCTTTCAGAGAGACCCCTTCATAGGTCGCCGAGGTCGCCACCCCGGGGGCCAAAAGCGCCCTCTGCAGATCGCGGATTCAGGGCCGTCCGACGCCCCCTCCCAGATTTGGGAAACTGAGGCTCCGAGGGGACGGGCCGACCACGAGCCCAGCCCTGCCTCCCGCCTGGGACAGGACGCGCTACCCTGTGCACCTGGGCGACGCAGAGCATGTTTTGGGCCTCCAAAAACACATGCAGCAGCTGGTGCAAACCCATCTGCGGCTCCACAGTGCCCGCCCCCATGGCTGCCTGGGTCGGGCTACGCCTTTGCTGCGCTTCCGCCCCCGCAGGCCGAGCCCCGCCCGCTCGCTTAATCCTCGCCCAGCCTCCGCGCTTCCTTTCGGAACACCCACTTCTACTAATCCGCTCACCAGCCCCACTTCTACTTGGCCTCAGACTGGCTTCTGCCCTTGTCCTGACATTCGCTGAGACCCTTGCCCACCCCCTTATACTGACATTCATCCTCGTTCTGACCTTCGCCCTGACCCTCACGCGGGACCTTGTGGTGCCCCTGAACCCAGCACCTCCCGAGCCCTTGCCCTGGTGCCGGCCCTTATCCAGACCTTGACCCTCTTCCTCAACCTCGCCCTAATCATCACCCTTGACTTCATTAGCATCTGACATCTACCATACTCCTGTTCCTACCCTCACCTGACCCTGACTCACCCTAGTACACACCTTCATCCTGAGCTTTGCCCTAGCCCCGACCCTGGCCTTCACAATCACATTCAGAATGACCCTCAGCCTCCGTCTTACACTGGCACTGGCCCTTGCCCAAGCCCTGGCCCTAACCTGGTACCTCCCTCATCATGGCTCCTGCCCAGCCTCTCACCCTACCTAGCCTTAGCCCCGACCCTGGTTTTGGTCGTGGCCCTGACCAAGATCAGATCAGAGTTAGTGTAAGGGTGAAGGTCACGATCAAGCTCAATGTCACAGCAGCCAGGGTCACAGTCAGGATGAGGGTAAGATCAGGGACAGAGTGATTAAGATCAGAATCAGAGTGAGGGTGAGTGTCCAATTCAAGGTAAAATTCTACGTCAGGTTAAGGATCAAGATAAGAGAATGGTCAGGGTCATGGTGCCAGAATCAGGTTCAAGGACAAGGTCACTATAAGGGAAATTTTAGATCCAGGGTTCAGTTCAAGATCAGTGTGAGAGCCAAGGTTAGGATCAGGTTGAGGCTCCATTAGAGAGGATCAGTGAGAGGATGAATGTCAGGATTAGGATGATGGTTATTGTCAGGGTGAAAGTAAGATTGAAAGTTGGATTCAAGTTGACAGTGGATGTCCAGTTCCGTGTAGGATTCAGGGTCAAGGTGAGGGTGAGGTTGATGTTCAGGATTAGAGTCAGTGTCAGGTTCAGGGTCAAGATCAATGTGAGGTAATGTCAGGGTCAGGGTGAGCATGATGTTCATTGTGAAGGTCAAGGTCAATTAAAAGTCAAGGTGGGTTCCTTTTCTATTGCTGCTGGAAGGAATTAAGTCCTCCTCCTCCAACTCTCCCTCCCCCCAACCCCATTACATTGGCCCAATCTGCATAATCCAGGATACTCTTTCCATCTCAAAGCCTGTACCCTTAAATCACATTTGCAAAGTCCCTTTTGTGTGTAAGGCAATGTATTCACAGGTTAGGACATGGGCATCTTTGCGGGAGGGGCACATTATTCTGCTTACCACAGAGGGTCAGAGTTTGGTTTATAGTCAAAATCAAGTTCAAGGTCAAGTTTCAAAGTGAGGATGGGTCAAGATGAAGGTGACGATCAGGCTGAGGATGAGTCTTCATAATAATGAAAGTCAGTGTCAGTGTGAAGTTCAATTTCAGGGTCAGGGTCTAGATCAGGTTCAAGGTCATGATGGGATTAGGGTGTCAACGGTGACAGCCAAGTGTGAGTCCATGTTCTGTGTGAGGCTCAGCATTAGGATGAGGACCCAGGTCAGGGTGAAATGGAGGTCTAGGTCAAGATGAGTGTCAGGATCAGGATCATGGTCAGGCTTGGGGTGCAGACTAGTTTCAGGTTGAGTGTACAGTGTAGTTCAGCATCAAGGCGCAAGTTCAAGGGCAGGGTGGGTCAGTATGATGGTCCTTGTCAAGGTGAGGATTCAGTCTAGGGGCAGAGTGAAGTTGAAGGTCAGAATCAGATTGAAGGTGGTGAGTATCTCATTTATCACAGTATTCACAATCAGTGTGAGAGAAGCTGTCATTGTCAAAGATAAGTCAAGTTCAGGGCAAGTGTGAGGGACATGTTAACGATCAGGATCATAATGAGCATCAAGGTAAGAGGAATGTCAATTAGAGACTCAGGGTTAAGGTGAAGATGAGAGCCAAGTTCGTGGACAAGGTTTAGTTCTAAGTCAAACGGGGTCAGAGTTTGGGTGACGGTCAGAGTCAATGCCAAGATCAAAGCCAGGCATGGGTGGGGAAGGGGCTGGCAAATTGAGGGTGAGAGTCAGTGTCTATGTCAGGGTCAGGGTGATAGGGTCAGGTTAAGTGTAAGGTTTATGGTCAAGGTGAGGGTCAATGTCAGGGTGGAGTAAGCTTTAGTCTTTGCGAGTGGAACTGGCTGAGGGTCAGTGGTCAGGGTTTGGGTACAGACTTGCATTCATACGGAGGTAAGAGACACCAGAAACTGAGCTAGACTGAAGCTTAGAGTCTACAGATGTGGTTGGACAGGCAGAGGCCAGATCCTTAAAACACCTCTAAAGACATATGAGACACTCAGACTCTTCCCTGAAAGCAACAACTGGAGTTTACTGTGCTTTGCCCTCTAAGAGCTTGGAGGGCAGTGACTGTGGCACTGTTAGTCACCTCTGTGACTGCAGTGCTTACAGAATTCTATCCACATGAGCACAAAATGAATATTTTAAGAATAAAAGATTGCTAAGAATAAGTTTCTCTGATTTATCTGTTTTTATCTATCTGTGAACCAATACCACATTGCTTATTTATTACAGCCCTATAATAGTCTTGGTATCTGATAGGGTAAGTCCTTTCATCATTTTTTTTTTTTTGCCTTTTCTTCTGCTTCTGCCTCCTCTTAACCCTTTCATTTCCACATATATTTTAGAATTGGCTTACCAAATTATTTAATAAGAAAAACAAGAGCCAGTTCAGATTGTATTGGGATTTACTGAATTAACAAATGAGTTCCAGGAATGTCTGTCTTCTTATTTGCCCAGTATCTCTGAGTAAAGAGGAGGCCCATGTGGTCCAGGCTCACCCGTATCCTGAGGGTGATGTTGGTAAACCAGCTTAAGGTGTGGAGGGTCACTTATTGGGTCCCCAACTTGAGCCATTCCTGGGTCCTGATTTCTGCCAACTCACCTCCAAAAGGGAGCTCTGTCACATGAAGCACCTAGCAATCCCCCAAGAGTAAAGTAGCCATGAATGGGGCCACTTTCCCATTGACCACAGAGAAAGCAAGGGCCAGGGGATGATGCTACCTCAGCCACTTCCCTCAACTGGAAAGGAAGAGGGGCATACATCACGTAGAACTACCGGGGGGTTTTATAATAAATCTCAAAAGTGAACTAGTGTTTAATGTCTCTGAGAACAAAATCAACCCAAACTTTCCTTCCCACTTGGATTTCCGACATGAGGACATCCTAAACTCAGCGCTCCCCCAAATGGCTCTACCAGGACTGACCCTGACCAGGAAGGCAGCAACTAGAGAACCAGCCCCATGGCAGGCATGACAGCGGAACTCACTGCCTCCTTCTGATGGATCTGTTACCAGCACACAGATGGGAGGCCGACAGCACAGGCCGAGGGTCCCCTCTGCTGAGGCTGGATGGCCTGGCCAGGAGCAGGACCACTGTGGTCGAATCAGGCCAGAGCAGAAGAACAAGAGGCCTGGCTTGTCCTGGGGAGGGAAGGGGGGGACACGCTGGTGGGGCCTGGCCCAACGTCTCAGCCCTCCAGGATGAAGGGCCGAATCAGCTCTGGGTTCAACAGCGACTCCTCGAGAGGCCGGTCCACGTGGAAGTCATGGATGTGGGGGGGTCCTGGGGGGGCCTTGAGGGCAGGTCCCCCTGGGCGCTGAGGAATCGGCAGCTCCGAGGGGTGGGCAGGCAGGGGAGCTGTGAAGAAGTACTGGTGCAGGAGGGCCTGAGGGTAGCAAGCAAGGGGCAGCAAAAGGAAACTGGTCACCTCCCCGTCCCAGCTTCAGCCACTTCCCGCCGAGGAGGAGATGTGAATATTGCCCTGAAGAGTATTTTTCCTTCATCTGCTCATCGTTCAGGTGACTCCAACACCTCTGAGTGCTCACTGTTTGAGCACTGCTCCAGACACAGGAGATGCAGCGGTAAACAGAACAAAGAGCTCTGCCTTCAAGTTTTCCACAAAGTGAGGGGTGGGGGTAATAAACACGATAAAGAAGTAAGACAAACAGTGCATCAAATGATTAGTGCTGTGGGAAAGAGAAAAGTATGAGGGGGGGATGAGGAATACTGGAGGGGCTGCAGGCCTGAAGAATGGTGAGGGGAGGCCCTTGGGAGGTGGCGTTCAAGCAAAGACCTGAAAGGTGAATGAGTGAGGCCTAGGGACAGAAATGCACAGACCCCCAGAACATGAAGGAGCCCTGGGGCCCGAGGGGAATGAGCAAGGGGAATGAGCAAGGGGAATGGGAGCTGGCAGAGTCACAGAGGTGATGGCCCCAAATGTGTGATGCCTGTGGGCCACTAGGACCTGGCTTCTCCTCTGAGGGAGCCCCAGGAGGGCCCTGCAGGTGAGGATACGACAGCCTACCTGGACAAGGTCCCTCTCTCTGCCACGTGGAGGAGAGACTAAATGGGCAGGAGAAGCAGATTCTGGGAGGCGATGGGGGGGTGGTGGTGCTTAGACTGGGGGCAGCAGCAGGGGGCTGAGAGGTGGTCAGTTGGCCTCAGTACACTCTGAAGGTGCTGCTGACATGGGAACTCGCCAGGGCCATGTGTAAACACACGCTGCTAGTGCCGAGGGCAGGGAGGGGAGGCTGCCATGAGGCCAGATGGCCAGGTACACCCGACAGAGGCCCTCACACCATCAGCCATCAGCCCATGGTCCTCCCCTCCTCCCCTGCCTTCCAGCCACAACCCACCCCTCCTGGGTCCTCCTCTCCAGGCTTCTGCTCATCATTTCTCTTGGGAAAACAGCTCCCCATGCTTAAACTTGCCCTTCTCCAGGAAGCCTTGCATGACCCCAAAGTCAGTCCCAACAACCCTCCCCTCGGCTCCCACAGACTGACAGCCCTGCCTCACCACAGGGTGGA